ATTCAGTTTGATAGGTGTAGCTTATCATTGTCTGCCTTCGCAGGAGCGATTCGAAGAATGCCGTTGGAACATTCTTCGTCCTTGAAGAATACTCTCTCTGGCAGTCTCGGACCCGAAAGTCTTCTGCTTGCCTTTCGGGATTAGCTTGTGCTGACGCTTGATTAACACCACCAGCAGCCTGCCAGGTGCTTGTGCCCTTACCACGGGAAAGCGAAGTTGGAGCTCCAGCCAGCATTAACCGTCAGTTGTTCTCTCGCCTTCTTCCTTCGAGGAAACGTTCGGCTTGTTCGACCGCGCACCTTCAGGATCCTTACCAAGTGTCAGACGTGCTGTTCCCATTGCTTCCAGCACGGTCCAACCGAGGTGTTGTGGAGCGTTCTGGAGAATGAATTCCTCGCGGTGATCGGGTCCGGCAATGCACGCCTTGTTCCGAACCTTTTGACGAAGCGTGTCCACTAACTCCCCGTCTTTTTGTTTCTCCGTCGAGCAACGATCCAATAGAGCATCTCCGTTGTCCGTCGTCATATAGATTGCCTGTGAGGAACATGGCTCTTCATATCGTCCCAGCTGTTACGCTACTGGCTGAGGTGCGGATACCAATCGAAGGCGGCACGCGAAAGTCATGCCGACGAGGGAATGACCGCACCATCAGAGGCTCATTGCCGAAATAATACCCAGGTGCGATTTTAAATAAATCAAATGCTGAGTGGGGAACCCTTCCCATCGAACGGCGTGAAGTTGATTAAACTGAACTTGCGCCGGATAGGGGATCGATTCCCACTCTCTTGGGTATGGACAGGGAATGCCTGTTTTCTTCGTCTCTTGACGGAGATTAATGTGTTGATTTTGCTCTAGACTCTTTGATCTTCAGTGCTTCACTTGCATCCTCGTTGGCATCCTCTTATCACCCCCTGCATTGACGGGGAGGGTTATTGTATTGTGAGCTCCATCCCTATCCGTGTGCTCTTCCTTCCTGAACAACCTGATTACGGTGACTTGCGTTCACCTTTGGTTTTCCTGATGCTTGGATTGCTGTCATATCTGCTCTCATCTGTGCATGGCCGTCTCTCAATCTCGAATTTAAAACTATTCTTTCTGCTTAGCCAAAGCGTCTTCAAGCATTTTGGCCATTTCTTCCGCCCCTATCATGAATGACTCGCGGGTTGTCCTTCGCTGGACACTGTATTGTGCGATGCGACAGCAGAGCAGGAATCCGATTCTTCATCTTCCGAAGGCAATCTTATATCCGAACCCTACCATAAGTTCCTCGTGCGATGGCTCCGGACTGCAGACGGGATCACGCCGGGGACAGCTTCCAGAAACGATTTGAGATCAATCTGTGTTCGATGTCTCTTTGCTGGTTCATGTTGGCGTGACCTTCGGAAATTCTCCATCCTTAACCACTGTTCTTCTTTGCCGGAAGCGCCTATGCCTTGGTTTTGGCGTTTCGGTGCCGAGCCTTTCGAACACTGAAATTCTCTCGGGGACTCCCTTGATGCAGTTGCATTGAGACAGTAGCTACCCGAATGAGCTTGGCACATGGGCACTGAGTTTCGAGCCCTTGAGGGCTTCTTTTCTTGTTTTGTTCGTACCCCCAGCCACGATAGCACAACTCGTCCATTTGATCGGAGTATAACCTTATGCGTCGTTGGCATGATTTCCCAGGTATACGTTATCATCTCGGATTGACAAATGCTCTGAGAGCAAACTGCCTTATTTGGACTTCGAGAGTCAACTCGGCCTCGAAACACGCCTTTTGTAGACATGAAATTCTCAGCGGCTCCCGAACTTCGATGCGGCAGTAGTGCGCTTGGGCTGCCGGTAAACTCTTGTCAGTTGAGGGTTGTGTTCGACCCCCAAGCATGTTGATTAGTTCGGAGCCTCTTCCATCGGCCCGAGCGTTCATGACTTCGTTGCGCGTCGGGGAATTGGACCGAGGCGGCTCCAAGATTGACCTCCTTCCTCGGGATGGTTCGGAGGTTGAACTCGTTTTGAAGGCTGAAAGGTCGATCCTCGGCCTGACTCACCACTTTGGACTTTGCCTCCATATTTTGTGAGTTAGTGGTGATTTCTTGGCTACTCCATTCTGCCACTTCTTACGGGCTTCTGAACTGAGCTCGTGCTTGTGCTGAGATGTGCGCGGCGCTTCTGAATGCCGATCCTCCAGCGTTGAACGGTTCGTTTGACACGGATCCATTCGTTCGTTGGTGTGCTTGGAGAGAGTTGCCATTCATTGGTTGTTGAGGTCGTTCGCCTCTTCTGTTCTTCAGATCGTGTTGTAACGGATCCCGTCCACAGATTCCATTGCCTTTGCGATTTGTTTCGCAAGCGCTGACGTTGCCTTTGGCGGGCCTCTCTTGAGAGAGTCACTACGCCCCGCGCAACGGAAGATTCGGCCAGAGCAGATCTGACCTGGTGGAAGGAGAGATCTCACCCGATGCAGCTTCGGCATCAAACGGGGCGAGATCTTCGTTGGCAGCTTCAACTTCATTCGTACCAACGAAGTTTTCTCTGAAAGAGCTTTGGAGACTTGGACTTGCGAGGGGAGGTGGATTCGGACGAGGTGACAGTACTCCTCGAACTTTTGTTGGTCGAATTCGTACTCGACCTCCTCTCGATCGCGGATCGGGATCCGCGGCTGCCGACGCGACAGCTTCGGCAGTAAAGCTGTTGGCTCCCATGTGCGTCGCCAGAATGTTCGCGGGAAAAATTATAGCTTTCTTCGTTGTTGATATCATTGCTATCTCAGTTAACACTTTATGCGTTACAAAGATCCGGTCTTTTTATAAGAATCCGGTTACAATGAAAAATCAAAGAAAACAAAGTAAAGATTACAATTTTTTCCTTTTGTGTCGAACGAATCGCGAGCTCCTGTTTTACGGTCACTCGCTTTGTGTGGTTCTTTGCCTGTGCCGGGGTTATTTGCCGTGGACCACCGCGTGATCTCGATCCGGTCGGATCTACACGATATGACGGGTAATATTCCACCAAGGAATAATAGCCGGAGGATTGTTTCACCAAGGAAACAACCGCTCGAATCTCGGGATCTAAGAACCAAGCTTAGATCCGGAGTGTGATCGTGTAGATCTCAAAATCCAATCCTCTCGAACTCCTGCCTTATTTGGCGTTGGTGATCGCCGAGCACCGGATCTGAAAGTCCAAGTCTCCAAGCCTTCAAAGTTGTGATCTTTTTTAGATCTGATCTTCAATCCAGCAGGGCTTCGCCTCTCTCCAAAATTTCCCCCTCTGAAACAAATGAGCAACAAGGCCTATTTATAGGCATTCAGAACTGGTGGCCGCGCACAGTTCTGAGCCTAGCCACCCATGGTGGCTCGGCCTTAGCCGAGCCACCCATGGGTGGCTCGGCCTTGGCCGAGCCACCTCAGGGTGGCTCGCCTTGGCCGAGCCACCCTGGGTGCTCGGCTTTGGCCGAGCCACCTCAGGGTGGCTCGGCCTTGGCCGAGCCACCCTGAGGGCTCGACTTTGGCCGAGCCCACCCTAGGGTGGCTCGGCTTGGCCGAGCCACCCTGAGGTGGCTCGGCCAACCGAGCCACCTCAGGTGGCTCGGCTTGGCCGAGCACCCTGGGGTGGTTCGGTTTCGGCCGAGTCCCCGGTGTTTGTCCGTTTCGTCCTTTGTTTCCGGTTCTGGTTCTCTTGTGTGGTTGATTGACTTGGCAACGACTTGTGACTTGATTCCAGATATGGCAATGAGTCGGGTTCCTGATATGGCCCAGTAAACCAACTTCTGAATTTGAGTCCGGAATTGATGTTGATTTTGATCGGTGATTCATCCGAAGTTCGCTCTTGTTTAGATGACTCGGTGATTCACCTAAACATTGGTTTGATTCCGCGTGCGAGTGGATGCATTCCAAATGGCTTGAGTGCGATTTGTCGCCTCGTTAACCTGCTCCGTTGCGTATAAGCTTGGCTTCAGCGTTGGCGGTCTTGTTTGGATACGTCGCCCGGATGGTCCGTTTGTAAATCGGCGTCGAGCTGTCTAAGGGACCTATAGGCAATTTTATAGCGCCTACACTCATGTCCTTGGAAGTTATATGCATTTGCAGGAAAGAAACACAATTTTCAATTTAGGATCAGTGAATTACTGTGGTGTTCACACATGTGTCAATCCAATATTAGAGCAAGATCACAGTGGTGCATCTGCCTCTTACATAGCGCGGTTGATTATACCAAAATTAAGGAAGAAGCTTGATCTAACGCCCGATAATATAATTGAGAAAGTGCTTGATACCAGTTTCATTAAAATCTCGTATATTAAATCATGGAATGCAGAAAAGAATTGCGATGACAAAAATATTTGGTGATTGGGACAAGTCTTACGCGACACTAGCTCAATATCTTGATGCGATCAAAAGAAGTAATCCTGGATCTGAATACAAACTCATAACCAAAGAGATCGATCCGGGGAGTTCATCAATTCACACTCTGTTTTTTGGGTATTTGGGCCTTCGATTGAGGGGTTTTAAATTTTGTCGGCCTATTCTTAGCATTGATGCACACACTTATACGGTAAATACGAAGGGTGTACTGCTTGTTGCTACAGGAGTTGATGCAGATGGTGGCTTATTTCCTTTGGCCTTCGCCGTTGTGGAGGTCGAGAACAGTGAAAATTAGGAGTGGTTTTTTCTTGCATTCAATTATATATTATTAATGTGTTTCCTCCTAGAAAAATTAACTTTCATATCTGATAGGATGAAAGGTATTGCAAAAGCATTGTGGAGGAGATTTGGCTTCATCACCATCATCGGCTATTCTTAGACACACATTAGAAGCTAACTTCAAAAAGAGCTTATAGTCAGATTCATTTAACAAAACCTTCTGTGGCAAGCGGGTTGTACGCCGGAACATATGGTGTATGATCGGATACGGGATCAAATCAGAAAATTCTCAAGCCCTGCACATGATTGGACATTGAGAGAAGTCTGGGCAGTGATACGTCGACGGTGGCACTCAGTAAAGATGGAGGGAATCGGTTCTGCATGATGACAACCAATTGTTCTGAAAGCTTCAATGGTGTACTTAAGGGGGCTCGGGCAATGCCCATACAGGCGTTGGTTGCGAGGACATTTTATAGGCTCAATTACTATTTTGTCAAGCGGCGAGAGGATGGAGCAATGTGGGCCTCGTTCTTGACACCAAAAAATGAGGCGATTTTAGGAGCTCGAGTTAAGCAGGCGAGAGGCACGAAGATTGTTAGATTTGCTGTAGATGAATGGGAGGTTACAGACAAACATGGTCACAATTACACCGTCAATTTGGGAGGTGCACATTGCACATGCACCTGTAACATACCAGAATTGCAAAAATTGCCTTGTCCACATGTCATAGCGGTTACGTCCAAGCAATCGGGGGGTGCAAATATTTCGTATTACACATACGCTTCTGAGTGGTATCAATCAAGCAACTATAGAGAGGCATATAAGCAGTGTTTCCACCCCGTACATGATAGTCGTTATTGGCCACACTATAACGGGCCGCATGTGGTGCCTCCAAGCTATAAGAGACAAGCCGGACGCCCACGATCAGTACGCTAAAAGGTACTATGGATGAAGGCCGGGAAGGAGCTCCGAAAAAAAATAGATGTGGATATTGCAGACAAGACGGGCATAGAAGATCTCATTGCCCGACCAATCCAAATAGATAGCAATTAATTGGTACAATTTTATACATTTGTAATTTCATTCTAACTCATTTGTAGATCAATGCTTATAAAAAACTCAAACAATGCTTATAAATCAATGCTTATAGTAAAATCAATTTTTTTCAATGCTTATAAAAAACTCAAACAATGCTTATAAATCAATGCTTATAGTAAAATCAATTTTTTTCTAACTCAATTATAGAATCAATTAATGTATCATCGTTATATGTGCAGATATTTCAGTTATGGAGGCGGGTCCATTGACACGTGATGTTCTTTATGACCAAGAGCGCCACCGATCCGCGAAGATAGACGCTAGGGAGGTAAAGTGAAGTTTTATTATTTTTAATTATATATAAATTTCAATGTAGTTGATTGTTACTGAACATTTGCACTGTTTACTACATGCAGGCCCCGAGTATTACTATTGTCGATCATACCCGTGCACATTCTAGCTGGGAGTTGACGGATCCACAGATACAATATTATGTGCGTCAAGCCGGCTTTTTTGAGTGTTCACAAATTAAATGGGTAAGACTTGATTGGGCACTTTTGACGGCATTGGTTGAACGATGGAGGCCCGAGACAAATACTTTCCATCTGCGCCAAGGAGAGGCGACGATTACCTTACAGGATGTTGGGGTTATACTTGGCCTCAGAGTAGATGGTGATGCAGTGACGGGCACCGATGACTTCAATTATGCGACCAAGTGTGAAGAATTGTTGGGTCACACTCCTACAATGAAGGGGGGAAAGATCAAACTCGAATGGTTAAGGAATAACTTTATGAATGTACCGATCGATGCGACTGATGAGATCATTAAGCGCTATGCCCGTGCATATATTTTACATATGATCGGTACTATTCTGTTTCCGGATTCCACTAAGGATTCCGTGCACGTGAGATGGTTACCGCTTCTTGGGGACCTAGAAGAGTGTGGAGAGTTATCTTGGGGGAGTGCAGTGTTAGCCTACTTGTATAGAGAGATGACGAAAATAGCACTCGTACAAAATAAAGAATTGAAGGGCTGCCTCACTTTGCTGCAGATATGGTCATGGGAGCGATTGCATATGGGAACACCTGATTTGAGGGAGGCCCGCGCTCTCGATGGGCATATTCCGTTAGGCTGCAGGTATTATTAAGATGCATGTAATTTTAGTGCTTTATTTCAATATATACTAACCCGTTGTATATAAAATAGATGGAATGTGTCCAGATCTTGGCAAACCTCTCCAAAGGGGCATGAAAACTTTTACAGAAATGAGCTTGATCAGATGGAGGATGAACAGGTATAAAAATTATAATATCTAAATATATTCAATTATGCGACCAATTGTTACCGATATCTAAATATATTCATTCAATATCTCATAATATCTTCTTTATAGGTCAAATGGATGCCCTACGAGCTAGTGTTGGAGTCACTACCGGATATTTGCCGAGAAGGTGAGGATGTATGGCGTGCTCGCGTCCCCCTTATATGCTTTGAGATTGTCGAAATGCACGTGCCTGATCGTGTGCTTCGACAATTTGGACTACGGCAACATATTCCAGGACCTGTGGAGAGAATAGAGAGAGATCCAAGAAAAGGTGCACATCGTGCTAATTGGCAAATAATTCGCCAAAATTACATCCATAGGTGGGTTTTAAGGGAGGAACATGTAGTGATGGAGAGGGCTGATGCACCTTCGCCAAAATTACATCCATAGGTGGGTTTTAAGGGAGGAACATGTAGTGATGGAGAGGGCTGATGCACCTAACCTAGGTGTGTACCTACGGTGGTATTGGGGGATTACTCGCCGGTGGATATTTCAGAAAAACAAAGCCCCGAAGGAGTACATACCAAGAGGCCCAGTCGAGAGAGAGTTGGTAAGTGTATAAGAAAAATATACAATTATTTTCTGAGTTTTATTTTCTCACCATCCACTTGATAATAATTTTTTTTTGGTTTTTATTTTATAGGTACAAGAGCTCGAAGAGCTTTCTACTATGGCACATGACGCATTGCGCACGACTACCGAGCAGGAGCCGAGGAACATGTTCCTTCGAATGATAAAAAAGATACGGTCGGCTCTTCAGAGGACGCGTCATGCAAGCCGTGATGGACGGGAGGAGCAACCAATTGAGTACGGGCGGCGACGTCGACGAGGGCACACGGGGGCGGGATCAAGCTATGCGCATGATGAAGCTAGCGGCTCACAGCAAACTCAGGCCGAATGTTCACAGGCGGTTCGAGACGACGCGGATGTCATGCACTCCCAACTTCACACACAACCGGACGAGGAACTTATCCGAGCTCACGTCGAAGGTGATCGAGGAAGGGGGAGAGGAAGAAGAGGGAGAGGGAGAGGGAGAGGGAGAGGAAGAGGGAGGGGAAAGGGCGTTGTTGATATTTGTTAAGTTTCGATGGACTTGATAGGATGTTTGTGTTTGAGTTGCAATTTGGACTTGATATGTTGTTTGTGTTGCGATGGATTTGATATAATGTTAAGTTTGCGAATATGAATTGTACGTATTATATTTGTGTTTGTGATTGTATTGTGAATTGATAACAGGAGTATGATTGCATTTTAGCATGTGTTATTTGTGATTACATTTTGTACTACAGGAAGTATGAGTTTTCCAAGTAAATGTGGGCTGGAATGGGGTCTGCAAAATGGTCGGGGTTGGGAACCCCGACCATTTTGTGCACCCACAATGGCCCTGCGTCTGGGCTCTGCTAAATGGTCGAGGTTGGCAACCCCGACCATTTCGTCGCTGATGCTTGTTGGGCTCTGCTAAATGGTCGGGTTGCCAACCCCGACCATTTTGTCCGTGGTTCAGCCCAGCTAGCGCTGGGCTCTGCTAAATGGTCGGGGTTGGCAACCCCGACCATTTCGTCGCTGATGCTTGCTGGGCTCTGCTAAATGGTCGGGGTTGCCAACCCCGACCATTTTGTCCGTGGTTCAGCCCAGCTAGCGCTGGGCTCTGCTAAATGGTCGGGGTTGGGAACCCCGACCATTTCGAAATAGACCTATTACGAAATGGTCGGGGTTCCCAAACCCGACCATTTAGTGAAGCTGTTAGCGGGCGTTGAACTAAACAGTCGGGGTTGCCAACCCCGACTGTTTACGAAGATGATTAAAAATTAATCGACCAGCTTTCTCGTCACGACGCTGACGTGGCGAGAAAACCGGTCGATTTCAGTAAATAAAACGATACACAGTCGATTTTGATAATAAAAATTTAAAACCAGGCTACAGTGAAAATTTGTTCGTTAAAAATATGATTTAATGAATGATTATCTTTCATAAGTTGATTGGCAATCATGATTATGTTTAATATGTTAAAAGTCAATGCTTTAGATTGAAGAATTTTGGTTAAACTAAAGAAAGAGGTTTGATTCGTTGTTTTGAGCTTTTATGCATGTTCTAGGGTTTTGAATACAAATCAAATGCATAAAATTATGTTTATATATGTTGTTTTGTTTCCAGATATTTCTATCTACGGTAATATGCTTGTATGCAAGTTTCATGAAGTTTTTATCATGTTTGAATCATAAAAACACGACGAGAACACGACATATAAGAATCTGGAGAAAACTAGAAATCGGGTTCACGGTCGACCGCCACGATTGACCGCGTGCAGGACAGAGACCTGGGTAGTCTCTGGAGCCCGTCACGGTCGACCGCCAGTTGGTTTTGGCTGTGCATGTTTATTTGAGTTATATTTGGTTGTCGAACGAATTTCTCGATCTTATGATGATAGACTATGACATTAGTGATTTGTTAAACACCTGGGATGATGGTGAACTTCAGATGTGGACACGCACACCGAGATTAGTGCATGTATGCTAGATTGTGTTAGATTGACACACTTTCGATACGAGTTAAATTGATAAACACATATAAATAATAATGTTCTATACGTATCCGGAAATAGGGAGATGAAACTTATTTGCCGCAGAACGATTGAGTAAGAGTATTACAATAGTATCGTTACTATATGTATCCAGAATAGGGAGATAATAAAACCTATTTTCGCAGGGCGATTGAGTATGAAATTATAAAAGTATTGTCATTCCATGTATCCGTGATAGGGAGGTAAAACCTATTGCCGTAGAGCGATTGAGTAAGAATATTATAAGAGTATCGCTATTACATAAAGAGATGCACACATATATGTATTATTAGTTATAGTTACTCCCATGTTAGATTACCCATGAGTAGGGTACATTCTTTGGTTTGTGGTATACATGATATGGCCTATGATGATTTTTGAGTTGAACGATATTCTCTTATAATTTTGCCAACTACTTGAGAAGTAGTTCGAGATTGTAACATTGGTTCTATATAGTTGAGGCTTGGAGTATTTCTTTTGAGTGATGTTTTTATTCATAGAGTTGGAATTGGTATTTAGGGATCTACAATTTGAGATGTATAGTATATATATGAGGGTTTCCTTGTTTGGATTATTTCGCTCGACGTACTACGTCTCGTCTTGTAGGTTTCTAAATATTAACTCCCTTAGATACGGGAAAAATAATATAGGTAGACTATGCTTAATAGATAGAGCCTCCACTTCATCTAGCAGCCCTTCCCCTGGGGGCGGATGGAGGTAATCTTGCTGTAGCGCTCTGACGCTCTTGTTGTTGTTCTTTTTATTTAAATTGTATCTTTCAAGCAGATCAGAGTTTCGAAGAGCCGCAGGATGACGGAGTTCTAGCTTAGTCACCGTCGCACGGTTTTAGCAGTTGAAGCTCCACTATATAGTTATATCCGTTGTTCAGATTTTAGAGTTGTATTCATTTTTGTAGAGGCTGAGTGCCTTAGTGAGATTTTATTTGACTCATTATGTTGAGATGTATTTCTGACTCAGAGATATCTTCATTCTATTTCAGTTAAGCTCATTTATTGATATACTTCTTCTGTGCATATCTGATTTTGTACTACTTTTATTATTTGCCTGTTTGTACCTTCACCTATTTGTTGTTTCCACTAGAAAGATAGTGACTGTGATGGTGAAATATATCGTAGCATGGTGTTTGGTGCTTGGCAGGTTTGACAATCTGGGTTTCACCTTGGACTGCAGCCTTGTATGAACCTTGGGGCGTCACAGTTGGTATCAGAGCTCTAGTTCCAGCATCCTTAGGATCATCCTGTGTCGAGTCGTGGAGCTAGAATAGAGTTTCTTAGGATTCATGTATAGAGTCCGCTAAGAATTTCCTAGAATGAGTGAGGACGATATGTGTGTATTTCTCAAAATTTCAAAAAAAAATTTATGATGATTATTTTATGTTGTTTTAAAGTATTTGTGTGAATACTACATGTTATGAATAAGTATTGTGATATGTTATGTATATATATATTTGGGACCTCATTTACTGTGTCCATTAAGCTCTCCTCTTGATATTATAAATGTTGGGGCGAGGAGGCGGTCGAGATAAAACTCACACTCGGAGAGCTAGGCAATTAGAGCCCGAGCCGTAGCAGGCTCCACAGTATCTGATCGACTTTATGGAACTATTTGCATTAAGCTTTTGTAATACTCAAGGAGCGAGAGGCACATCCGTTTTCGTCAGCAGTATTATTTTTTGGAGTTTCACCACCAATTGTACCAGTCAGGCCTAATGAAGAGGCAATACCAATAATTTCATCATCACCAGAGGATGGCAGCAAAGGATAGCAATGACTTTAGATTTTCGTAGGAGCAGTGAATATCACTTATTTGGGAAAATTTTGTTTGCTTCTTCGACAAGTAGTTAGAGCTAGTTCGACTAAAGCAGTGAGATATACCTATAGTTAATAATAAAATCAAGACCAGCATTATGGAAATGACAAGGGCAAGAGGCCTATTGTGGGATCTAGAGGACACACCAGCGGGGTAAGAATATTTACCATCAGCAACAAAGATATTATAAGAATATAGCACAACATGATTTGATAGCGCCGCAGCAGCGCATAATTCGGGACACATGATACAATTATAATAAGATCGAACATAGAGCGAAGGATTGTCGCAGTATATCAGCAGGAGACCAGCATGATAGAGGTCTGGGTTAATAGTCTTAGGGTCGCGGTTACGGCCAACATCGGAGGATAGATGTACTACCGGTTTTTTTCCAAGGATTTAAGAGCCAATAGGCCATAATTATGCCATTTAGAGTATTCATTAGTGTCAGATGGACACATGTGTTTCACCGTCAATAGCACAGCAGACACTGTCCACCAGCAGAGTTTATGTAGTCGCGCCACGTGATCATAGTGCAAACTGAGTTTTCGTAGTAATTTCTTATCCAGCTCGAATCTTGTTTGATTCAGGAACTTCGTATTCTTTCATATCTCATGCCTTCATGTATAGGCTTCAGTTAGTTACTCATCCCTTAGATGTTCTGTTATTAGTTTCTACTCCTATAGGGGAGGTGTCCCTATTAGAGAGTATATATAGGAGATGTGTCATCAATATAGATGATTTTGAGTCCATCTTTGACATGGTTGTCTTGTGGATGTCGAATTTCGACATCATTCTTGGTATGAAATAGTTATCATCCTATAATATTAGTATCGACTATTTTGCTAAAACAGTACGCTTGTGAGTATTCGTTGGGGTTGTATAGATAGTAGCAACCTCATAGGGTAACCAGAATGCGGAGTCATTTCTGGCATGCGTCGAGGAGGTGATGATACGGGATCGGGGTGCAGTTTTGAGCGAGACCAGAGTCGTCTCAGAGTATAAGGATATCGTTCAGGACATACCTATTTTTCTCCACTGAGAGAGGTTATTTCCCTGCATTGAGTTGCAGCAAGCACCGTACCGATATTCCGAGCACCCTATCGTATGGCACCCGTTGAGATGAGGGGGCTACAGACATCGCTAGATGAGATGTTATCTCAGAGTTTTATTCTACGGAATCTTTTTGTGGGAGCGCCGGTCCTCTTCGTGGAGAAGAAGGACTATAACATGCGATTGTGTGTTGATTATCATGGGTTGAGCAAAGTCACTATTCAGATCAGGTATCCATCATTGAGAATTTATGACTTGTTCGACCAGCTGCAGGGAGCGCAGCATTTCTCGAAGATTGATCTTCGTCTTAGTTATTTCCAGTTGCTAGCGCGGTAAATGGATATTTCCAAAACCATATTTTCTGACTCGATATGGGTCTTTTGAGTTATTTTCATGCCATTTGGGCTGACCAATGCACCTGCGGTATTCATAGATTTGATGAACCGGGTTTTTCGTCCATGTTAGGACCAGTTTGTAGTCATTTTATCGACGACATCCTTATATTTTCGGGATCGGAGGCAGAACACGAGCATTATCTTCTATTGGCATTGCAAGCATAGCGGATAATCGAGATTAGAGGCATCAGTGATATGCTGAGTTCAGCAAATACGAGTTTTGGTTATAAGAGATCAGATTTTTAGGCCACATCATCAGCAGGGGGGCATAATAATGGATCCATCCATTGTTAAGGTTGTACTTGTTTGGGAGCCGCTAAGAACCATTACAAAGATTCATAGTTTTGGTAGGGTATGAGAGAAAGTTCATTCAGGACT